ACTACCCATCACAAAGTTCAATGGAAAAATTGACTTATGGCTCCCATTTTGGGGGAAGTTTAAATCTGAAATTGACTCCACAGACATACCGATTTTAACAAAATTTTCTTATTTAAAAGAACTGTTGGATGAGAAAGTTCGGACAGATATAGATGGTCTTCCATTCACCGAAGCGGGTTATGACAAGGCGAAAGAAGTTTTGGAATCAGAATACAGACAGATGGCTGATGTTGTAAATACATATGTGGTTAACATTATGAGCTTACCAGTTATTAATCTCAGGTGCATTAATGCATGGCTCCAATTTTGTAAGGAGTGAGGAAATAGGAAAAATCTTTAAAAATTAATTAAAAATTAACAAAACACACTATGACTCTCATTTTTGGGGGAGATGTTGGACATCAACTGCCGATATTTTTCAACTATTTGGTTTCCATGGAAACCGGTCACGTGACAAGATATAAGCGGTGATAATGGAAATTAACTTACTGTTTTAAAATACGGCTTGCCGACACACTAAACATTCATAGATATGTACAAAAATATTATCACGGAACCTTTTACTCTTATACTTCATTGCTGTAATTAGAAACTTGAAGATTTTGCCACAGATATGAAAATATTGCTATGAATACAACAATGTCTCGCACAATGTCAATATGATTTGCGATAAAATGATCGTTCCAGATTACAATGTTTACAATTCTAATTGTGGGAGCAAAGTTGGTTGTACTCCGGACAAAATCTGCGTATTAACGACCCACATTAACGTTGTCTTATGTGTCGGCAAGTCCAACGCGTTTTTCGCGTGATGAATTCGCGCACGCCATAATCATAGGCCCCTGCCGTGAAACAAAATATTATGAAATACAAATACACAGACAATGACTAACAAACTGCAACTAATAGTACGTGGTGCATTCAAAGAATATGCGAGTAACAGAGAGAATAATATGCACAGAAGCACAGAATAGATATAGAGCAGAAGGTTCACTCAAGGGTAAAAAGTGTGCCAGAATGTCAGCCGACTTCCGGCGTGGCCGCCATGTTGAAAGCAACCAAACCAGAGGAAATTTTATAGGAGTTAATATGGCGGAATGCGAAATAGAGCCACTAAAAGTGCTCTAGCTTTTTATGTATCCAAGCAAAACTCATGATACTTTGAAATATGATAAAGAAGAGGATGTTCTTTGATTTAATTGTCACTATGAGGATGACAAACGAATTTAAGCGTGGAATTTGGCCATTGTCATACATCGATTAATTTCACCTCGGTCTTTGGCGAATAGTGATAAACATATAAAGTTATATAGCTTATGTGTGGTTAGTCCGATCGCCGTAAAATATGTTTTGAGTGATAGGTTGGTGATATTTCATGGTGTACAAAAGGATTAAGGACGTGAATACCATGAACAATGAAGGAAATAAATCGAGTTCATCGAACCTTCTGTGAATCTGTGATCAACTATTCAAACAGTGTAATTCAACTTGGCATATTGGCCTACAATCGTTTAATATAAAATAATATTGCGATATGAAAGAAATTGCTGGACCTACTTCTTCTTCAAAAATGAATTTTAGAGATAATATATTGACTTGAACCTATTGAAATCCTTTGGCTGTGACTTTACAAATTTGGTATCACAAGTGACAAGGCCTCCTATGACATTATCATGACTGTTCATTGATATTGGAAAAATAGTTTAAAGATCAATGCTTGGATGAATCAGGGAACTTCATTTACAAAACAGACAATAAAAGACCTGATTTATCTTAACGACAGTTTAAATTATAAATCTGTGAGATTCTAATATACACTCTAGTTTTTAAGATACATATTAACAGTTTACTCTACAATGAGGGGAAAATAATCTGAATATGAGAATTTTCTCTGTTACTCAAGTTTATGTTACATTTAGCACCAAGTACATTATTGTTGCTATCACCTTAGGGGCTGTTTACATGAGCCTGGCTAGCCATGCAGGCTGGCCCGGTTAACCAGGCTGAAGGCCTGGCTAGCCAGGAGGTTACCTGAGCTGGTGACTTTACATGGAGAAATTTCAGCCCGGTTATCCGGGCATCCTCTTTGACTCAAGTGAGATCTCGGCTAGGCAGATTCTTGTTAAATGATTTGTATTAAGCTGGGTGCCTCAGTTAACAGGACTAGTCGGGCTCATGTAAATAGCCCCTTAGTTATTAAGACTTGTTGGCAGAGTAAAATATATCAGGCAATAAAATTGGTTTCAACTTGCAACAAATCGGATGTTGGTGCATGTAAGTTGTTATTAAGACTTGTTGGCAGAGTAAAATATATCAGGCAATAAAATTGGTTTCAACTTGCAACAAACCGGATGTTGGTGCATGTAAGTTGTAGTGTTGTTTTTACAAAGGGAACCAAGTAAATGAAACTTTAACATCTAGTGTATTCTACTATGTACAAGTTGTACAACCCCAAAATGTAAACAACACTTTGATTTGATTTTAGTTCCATAAATCCATATTTTTTATCCATATTATCAATCCATATTTAATTTGATTTTAGTTCCATAAATCCATATAATTTAGTTCCATAAATTTGAGTTTAGATCCATAAATCTATTAAGATCTGCAACTGTCCTACATGCACAAATGCCATCCAATGTAATGACCTAGATGATAACAGGAAGCAGTTTTGTTTCATTAAGGCCTTTGATCAAACAGAAAACACATTTGAAGGTCTTTATGTTCCAACAAATTGCTTTCTGGGTTCTTCATGTTCTGACAAATTGATTTCTTCATGTTCCAACAAATTGCTTTCTGCTTTCTTCATGTTCCAACAAATTGCTTTCTTAATTGTTTTTGAGGTTGTGCATTTACTACAGCTTGAAATTTGCCAATCGTGAACTTTCCAACACTAAAAAGAAGAACAGAAAATATTTGAAGGTAGCACATCTTTAACCATGTGCACTGGACAATATGCTGTGTTGCCAAAACAATTAATCAATATAACTTCTACAAGTTATATTGCTTAAAATCTTTTACACCAAGTACATAAGAACTGAACTGTAAGATACAAGGCTGGTGTTAAATCTAATATTGATGGTAATCATACACAGGAGAAATTACTAATATGTTGCTACACTGAGTAAATTTATACCAGGCAAGCTGAAAAATCAACTTTACCACAGTAAGAATGCAGCCCACAACCCCTGGTTTACAAGACCAATGCATTCCAGACTGAGCTACACAGTTTGAATGTGCAATATTTTATTATTTTGGAGCTTAATTAGTCTCGCTCCTTCACTAAGATGGTAAACCTAACAATGCCGATGGTAATTGATAACAGGTGAAATCATTAATTAAGATGGTGCTTGCTGAGTAAATCTACATGAAATTGGTGTGTTGCAATTTTGGGTCATGAACTGTAACTTCTGGCAAGTTAGTCTGCTCCACCATCAATTGCTTGATACAGATGTGAACAAATATCGTACTCATTACTGTTACCAGCAATCAAAGTTTAATATCAAAGTTACAAATTATAAACCAGTTCTGGTGAAAATGGATTCTACTCGCGCAGTTTACTTAGTTTAGTCCAAAAACGTTTTTGTTAATTAAGAAAAGAAGCCCAATACAAAGACATCACATCCCCTTTCACTGATCAGGTATATAATTTAATACGAATAGTAGTACGAATTATAAGGATATTCACAGTATAACATGCGCCTAAATTAAAAAAATTCAACCTACTGCGTTCTAAAAACAAGACATGACGCATTTTTCTTCAAGTTAAGTGGAATAGTAGTTGCAATAGTTTCAAACTACACTCAGAAAAACGACATATAAATGCATATATATCCATCGGTGCCAAAACAGCACATACAGTTTGCTGCGTTTAAAATGACAATTCTAGCATCATTCAATAAGCTTTTATTATAATAAAATGAATAATCTACCTTTCTTTTGTACGTCCTGAAAATTTCAATGACATCCACCATAAAATAACGACGATATACCCATTTAAAGTTATGAAATACAAGTTTCGCCATATTGGTTTATAATGTTTTGGACCAGAGGAGGGTGGAAGCTCTTCCCAGCATGCATTGCAACTCATTAATATTCACCATCATGATTTTTCACAATGTTAGTTGGAAAAGTTGTGGATATTTATTTCGATATTTCGCCACGAAAAGTTCGTATTTTTGAAGGTAAGTTTTTATAATTGTTTTAAATATGAGTCAAATGAACGATTTTTGCTTTATTTGGTGTTTTAACAACGTTTAGTTATATGTTAATCGCAATTTGGATTGACCTGTTTTCCGGGTCAATGCACAAGTGTCAAAAGTGGCTTTCAAAACCGCTGGGGACAATTGGGTTTATAAATGAGTAAATTAAATAAAAGACACGCCATCGTATTCAGGAAGAGTTGTTCTTTCTATGACAAGTTTAAAAAATCGCGGTTTGAAAATGGGGCATTTTCGGTATACTATGTCGCCCATCGCGGGAATAATCGACCGCATGGGAATTATGGCGCGAGGAAAATTACTGTACGAGTCGTTATTATTTTTGTTTTATTTCGAAGCATGTGCATATATGTCGATCGTTGTTGAGTTTAACTGCTGCATTTAAGTTAAATACACTGTATTTTACCATTATTTTTATAGAATTCGAATATATTTTGTGAAAATGGAATCTGATAATGATGGCAATGTTGTTTATATTGTTGATCCTTAGTATGGGAAAAGTTGAACTTATGAATTTAATGCTGATTTAGAACTGTTATTGAGCAAACTGTTCCTACATCCTGCTTTGGCAAATGGTATAACATCTAATCCAGCCAAGTTGTGCTCATGATCCATTCAACTGATTCAAGCAATGAAACTATTGAACCAGAATAATAAGAGCAACCTGTTATATAAATTTGCCCATACCAGCCTTTTAATAGATACATATTTTAGTAGACATTTTACATGTAAATACTGGTGTATTGGTGACATGAAAATGTTGCAATGAATCTTAAGTATTTACTTTATATATTGTAACTTTGAATAAAGCATTTTATTAACATCAATTATGTATGACCACTGCATTTATATGACCACCCCCCACCTAGCCCTGGCCAGAGGGTATGCAGGGGGGGGGGGGTATTTTCATGATAAAGCAAAAAATATTAGAGTCAAAATGAGTAATTTGAGTAATAACATGATGATAAGTAAACTGTTTGTTAACAACAATTACAATACAGTAGTCAAGCAAGACTTTGCTGTAGTCAAGTAAGTTGATAGGTGGGTGGCGCACATGACTGACACAACTCGGCACCAGAGCACCCTCCCTACCACATCATACTGGATCCATATTTAGATCAGTGATCCATCTGTGCTAAATATACAGCTGTTAAAACAGTGTTAAAAACACATGCACAGTGACTGCAGTAAACAAACACAGGAAATTGAGTTTGAAAACATTTATTTATTTGAAAAAGGAATGGTAAAATTATATTTAACAATTATTCGCCGAAGGCGAGGTGATTATCGGGGAATATTTGCCGAGGTTACTATTCCCAGATAATCACAGAGCCTGAGGCGAATAATTGTTTTAGTATTTTTGCACAAGTTTTTGTATTTTTCTGGTCTGAATTCATTTTAATTTCGCTTATTTCTTTATTACTAACTTCAACAAAACAGCTAGCCGCCATTTTGAAAATTTCGATTTTGTTATAATTATGTAACAGATTAATACATCAAATTTGACCAATCACCTTGTAGCATTTGTTATGTTCACTTGTGCAAAAATACTAATATCAAATATTTACCTGAAATAATAACAGTGTTTTAATAGGAATAAATTTATATGAAAATCTCAACTAAAAATGTCTTGCTCATGTTCTACTTTAAATTTCAACTTGAGATTTTTTGATCATCTATACATGATTATCACAAGTTGCATGGTATCTTTGTTCTCGCCTGGAACCAGCTACAACAAACTTCTCAGGATACAAAGTATCCTCCACAATCCTTGTCTTAATTCTCAGGATACAATGTGTCTCCTCCACAATCCTTGTCCTTCAGAATCCTTGTCTCCATCCTCCTAATCAGAGCTTGAATCATTCATGTATTTAGCATCATCAGTAGCCTGTTCCACACCCAATAATTGAGTCAACTGCTGAATTTCATCAATCTTGTCCATGTCTGCAACTCCACCTTCTACATCAATACTTTCAACATCACCAGGCATCTCTTCACCATGAATTTGAACTAAACACATAGGATTTAATGGCTGTTTAATGCAATTGCATAACAATGGCTCATCTAAATTCACCAGTGGTAGGTCATTCAGTATATCCTCTAAAATATCCAGCTTGGGTGGTCTGATTGTTACAGAAGTTGGTGATGGAATAATGTTAAACTCCCACAACAGAACACAACATAAGTACTACAGGTAAAAAAAGATTTGATGCATTTATACAGGGACGTTGGAACAATAAAAAGGCAAGGGCACCTTTATAGACCTACAATTATGTGTTGACTTGCCAATGAAAGCCTGAGTGTGCATGTTCCATTGACGATAGCTGTTCTGTGTTCTGGAAATAAAGTCTACTCAAGGAACTATAACTGCACAAACACACTTAATCAGGTCACATTCAAGTTCACACCTCATGACTTTGCCCAAAACTGGAGATAAGATTTAGCAGGCAGAATTTCTATAACACAAAGTGCACTTCTGCCCCCCTTGCCCCTCCTCCCTGCTTTTATGATATTAAAATAGATTTGACTCATTTGACATTCAAATACTTGTAGTCTTGTATGATTTCCGAGTATAAATGGCCCATTTTCCCACCAATTAAATCATAAAATAATCGTACCTTAAGGTCAACTTTTACGCCAAATGTTGTCGTTATCCATAAAACTAGAAGTTCGACATCCCTTCACGAAGCAGCTCCAGGCGCTCTTTCGACACACAATGTACATAAAGATTGTCACGTCCATCCAAATCAGTAGCTTTGTTGCCACGAACAGCACGAAAATTCGCCATGATTTACAATTTTCAATTTGTACTTTTGAATACCGCTCCTTGCAAATTGAGTAGTGAACACAACGAGAGCTAGTCGAACAATGACGGCTCGTCCCGGGAAATCGATAATATGAATGAGTTACAATGCATGCCGGGAAGGGCTTCCAACCTCCTCTGGTTTTGGAGCACTGAGCTATACTATATTACTGGAGGACGTGCTCGGCATCAAAAAGTGTCGCCAAAAACATGGCGGATTTTCGCGCCATATGACGCCATTTCCATGACAACTGGTTCCTCCGGCTCATGAAATTGCCACTGACCAGGCTCAATTCTGAGCCCGCTGCGATTTTCACCCCCCCCTGGTTTTATCAAAAATATTTTTGCTTTTCGAAGTTTTTGCAGCAAATTCTCGTTGTTTTTTATATTTTTGACCATATTTTTGCTTTTCGAAGTTTTTGCAGCAAATTCTCGTTGTTTTTTATATTTTTGACCATTGGTTCAAAGATTTAAAAGTCGTGCACGCTATTCTCACCCGCGAAAGACAACAAATCAATATGAAAACCCCGAGAAAGTTAGGCAAAGGCGATATTTGATGGCACAGCTAACAGGTATTAAATATTTCACATACTATTGATATGCTTTTATTTTTAATTTTTAAAAGATAGTGGGAGTAAATGATAGAATATAATCCATTAGATAACAGGCTATTTGAATTGTATAACGTATTATTTTCCCCCGTGTATTCAAACTTTGTCGTAAAAAATACAGAAACTTTGTTTTGATATTCAAAGTTGTTTTTTTTTCACTTTTATACTAGCTTTGTTAAATTGTTGGCTGGCCATGGTTTTTGTTAAATAAACAAATTTTGTTTTATTTAATTCAGTTTAATAAATCAGTTTTTTCCCTCAAATCCTTTGGGTTTTCTATATAGACTGATGACTGAAATCTGACATGCTTGATTTTATGCAATTGTATGTGCTAAATAAGTATATACAGGTGTAAAAAGGCATGAAACAATGTGCTTCTATCTATATTTTTGTGTGTTTATATATACTAGAGTCTGTGGTTATTATAGT